AAAAAAAAAAAGAGTAATTATGTGAGATGATGTATATATTAATTTGCTTCATTATAACATTATGTATATCTTAAATAACACAATAAAATTTATTTTTTTAAAGAAATCTTCTTTCATAATACAAGTTTAAAACCCTATTCACCTTTATCTTCATCTTGGCATCCTCTCACTAATCTAACCCTACATCACTGAAGCAGACTCCAGAAACAAGAGGCCCTCCTGTCACAGACAACCCAGGTACCAGCAATGTGCAAAATTTGTGCTGTACCCACCCAGATAACCCCTCTCTGTTGCACTCACAAAGATTCTACCCCACACCCTAGAACCAGGCTGTATGAGCAAGAATGGCAAAGCTAAGGAGTGTGCTGTGGGAAAAGTCTACCATATCACCTAGGATCTCCTGCCAGTACCATGGCTTATGAGGCCATGTAGAAAGTTCTAGAAGGTTTGTTGAGCTCAGGGACACCCTCAGAAAAGCTAGAGTGCCAGTCCACCAGGACAAAGGACATAAGAGAGCATTGGGAGATGTCTATCCCATCACTGGTCCTTATGTCCTTTGATCTCACACGTTGCACTCCAGGAAGTCTCTGAAGACAGCATCAGGCAATGGCACACATCTCAGGGATTGGTGAGGTCTTCCTTCTCGCATTCCCGCATCCAGTCCTCCCACGTTCATCTTCCAAGTGTTTGATCAGCCGGCTCCACGCTCTGGATATCTGCTCCGTGCTATCCTCTGGCATGCTCTTACGAGTCCCTTCCCTGACTTCCTGATTTTGATGTGCAGCAGACTCTCTACCCGCAATACTATCTGACCTAGAGGAACACATTGTTCATGGAAAAAAGTAATCTTAGAGTTATGTAAATAACTGTATAACTATAATATCATCCCCAGTTTTACTTTTTTTTTTTACTTTTTTTTTTTTAAAATGGGGTTTCAGCCGGGTGTGGTGGCTCAAGCCTGTAATCCCAGCACTTTGGGAGGCCGAGGCCGGTGGATCACGAGGTCAAGAGATCGAGACCATCCTGGTCAACATGGTGA